AGGAAAAACCTCCATAGTAATTGCCTCCCAGATAAAGCAATTTGTAATCATTGGTACCCTTGCAAAGAGAGGTAGCTATTTATGTTACCTTGAAGTCAAGCAGAAGCCAGAGTAGAAGTGTGCCTTATAGACTACCAGAATCAAAACATGCATAAGCTTTCATGAGCTACAGTTCACTTCATCAGATTCTGTATACAGTAATGTGCTCGGCTTCTGACGAAGTGAGCTGTGGTTCACAAAAGCGTATACATCTCTGATTCTGTTAGTCTTTAAAGTGTATCTCTACCCTGCCTTTTGCCATTAATATCCTATGCACGGTAGTAGTCCCACTTCATCAATAAGGACACCAAGGCACAGAGGCTAATGGACTTTGCCCACAGTCAAACAACCTGGTCCAGGGCAGAGAAAAGAAGAAACTTTGGATTTCAACCCTTGCTCCTGTGTACAAGTCCATCCTTTTGCTTGAGTACTCGCTTTGTTCTGCCAGACTTGGGATGACCCTTGAGACTCCACAGCTCACATACTGGAAGTCCTTGGACAGCTCTCAGCTGTGAGTGGAAGGCTGCAGTCCAGGCTTGAACCCAGGTTAGAGAAGCACAGAGGCTCGAGTGTATGCTAGGTTTGCATGGTTGGGTGACTTTCCCACCCAGTTTTGTTTTGCTGTTGCTGAGTTCACAGTAACTTCAGCTCTGGCATTCTCCCAAGCTTAGCTTTTCCTAGAGGGTTTCTATCCCAAACTTTTCTGCTTGGGGACCTTCAAATCCTCTTACATTCTAAAACAGGAGCCATTAGGAGGTTGCCTGACCTGACAGCAGCAATGATTTTGTCTCTCAAGATGGGGCGCACACCTCAATTTAGCAAGTCAACCAAAATGCCTTGCATTGAACATGCCTGTTCTGTTTCACCACAGCCCACTGAACCAAGCAGAGCACTCTTTTTGCATCACTCCCTTATGCAAAATTGCAAACGGTCCAATTAGGTTTAGGTGTATGAATAGGAGGGGCTATGAGTTTAAATGCCATGAAGCATTTTCTCTACTCTATAAGATGCTTTTATTAACACAACACAGCCACATGTTAATCATCTGTTTTTGGTGCCAACATCTCAGCTGAGTGCTCCCATGCTCCAGCTCAAATGAGTGCTGGGAGGAGGGCCAGCTGGACTCCTCAAGCACAGTGATTCGTGCAGAGAGCACATCTTTGTGTGTCTGTCTCATTCTCTTTGTAACTTGGCTTCTCTGTTTATGTGGAATGCTTTTTATAGGGTTATTTCATACCACAGTAAAGGAGGCATGTGGGGAAACATCCTTGGCAGCACGCAGCCTAGAGTTTGTAGGTCTAGGGGTTGTGTGGGGAAGGGCCCCCAGAGATCCACAAAGGGAGGAGCCACCCTGTGTGGAAGCCAGTCTCTTCAAGCAGCTATGCCCTCCACTCCCTCCAGAGCTTGTAATATGGGTGTGCAGTAGGAGCCGTGCTGCCACAGATGGAGGGAGTCCTGTAGTTGATGACCTGTATCTGTGAGAGGGTCTCTGCAGGAGATACCCTCAAGTCAGGTGGAAATCTGCCTTCTGATATTGAAAGAGGTTATAAAGTGTGGGTGTTGTTTTACAGATAAGGATGAAGGAAGATCAGAAATAAGGAAGTCACACCTGGTTCCATCCAGAAAAGCAGCTTCAGTGGACTCAGCCATTGCATCCCGATTTCCCCGGTCCCTTCTAATCAAGATGAACCATCCCACCCAGAGCAGTACACAAATGCAATCTGAGGAGCCAAGGACTGGCCAGGCAAATGGAAGACTTGTAAACCACTCTCTGCAGTCAGTTAAATTTAATCCCACAGTACGACACATAGTAATTAATGAGGATACTGATGTCACTTTTAATTGCTCAATTAATGTACCTCGATTATTAATCAATCAAGATTCTTTTGTTATTGCCTTGTGGAAAGATGGGAAGGAACTGCATGTACCTGACCGCATAGCCAGCCGATATTACGAGGTTTTTGATGGGGAAGAAATAACATTGATCTCTACCTTCAGGTAATTTATAAAGATATCTGGAGTGGTGCTAACTGATTGCTGTTTCCATTTCAGAAATGTCTAGTGGCTGGTGGCTTAGATCAGTGATTCCCAACCTTTTTCTATCCATGGGCCACTGCCACCCCTCCAGTGTTTGTGTAGACCAGTGTTTCTCAACCTTTTAAGTAGCAAGTACCCCCTAACTTCCGAAAACTGTAGTAAGTACCCCAATGCTCAATTTTCCAGGGGATTTTATATTTACCAACTAATGTGTGCCATATGTTGGAAGAAGGGTTGTGCATATAAGGCTGTGATATAACACATGTCTGATTTGGTGTGGGTAGGGTTACCACCTTTTACACCTGGGGTGCACAACCCAAGTATATACCTGGGCTAGAGGTGATGTTGGCCAAAGCTAGGAGGGCTGAACCCAGTGCTGTGCAAAGTGTGGCACGCCAAATTATTACTTGGGAATTTAACGGGCTGTGCAATGCGTGGCGTGCCAAATCTTTTGCCATAGTTTTGAGAGGAGGAAGGGGCAAGAGAGAGAGGAAAAGAGGGTGAGAGAGAGGAGGGGGTGGAAAAGAGGGCAAGAGAGAGAGAGACAGATAAGGAGGCAGCTGCTGCCAGCCATGGAGCCCAGGCTATTCCCAGCAGGTGGCTGGGAGGCTGCAAGCCCTGCTGCAAGCAGCCCGAGTTCTGTGGCAGGCATCAGCTACCCAGAGCCTGGGCTGGCTGCAGCCAGGAGGCTGCAAAGAGCTGCTCTGGGCTCCGGCATCGTGCACCTTGGAGCAGATGGTGTGGGGAGCCCTGAGGCAGCTTTTCTGCGGACAATTTTCCGCCCAACATCTCTGGTAGAGGGGAAGGGGCATGGGGGAGGAAAGGGGCGTGGGGGGTGCAGATTGAGACCCCCCCATGGTGAAGGAGGGAGTTGGACAGGGGCTGGAGCTGGGGTGGAGGTGTTACCCAGTCAGGGTGGTGAATGGGACCCCGGGGCCAGGGCAGGGAATGGGCAGTTTGTCGTGGGGTCATGGGGGGGAAGTGGCTCCCTGCTGCTGCATGCACCACTCGGGGGTGGGGGAGGGGGGCATGTGCCTCCCCCCCAGATTTGTGTACGAGGCAGATGCAGGCTGCCCACTGTGTTGCTCAGGGCTCTTTGCCTTACTGCCTTTGCCCTGGGAACTTGGCAGTAGCTGCATGTCCCCTGTCCATCCAGCAGGAGTGGGGGCAGCGAGTTGTGTCTCCCACCTCTGGGCGAGCAGGGGACATGGCAGGGAGCTCACCTCTGGGCGAGCAGGGGACATGAGCAGGGAGCTCACCTCTTCCCTCACCCCACATAAGTGTCCCCATTTTTAAAAATGGTGGTGGCAGCACTTGAACTAAAGCTCATTGGACCAGCTTTAGATCAAGCACCCCCGCTGCCATTTTAAAGTGCCAGGATGCTGATCCTCTGAATGAGCCACCTGCAGCTGTCGGGCTCCCTGCCCTGGCACCAGGGTCCCATTCACTGCCCTGGCTGGGCAGTGCCCCCTGCCCCAGTCACTCCCTAACCATGGGGGCCTTTCCTCCCTTATGCCTCTTCACCTCCACAGACTTACCTGCAGGGCACTGCTCTCCATGCTGCCTGGCTGCATTCCTGAATATCAGTTATCAGATTGGTATCAGTCAAGAAAATCTCTATCGGTGCACCTCTATATTAGCTGCTCCGCCAGCCAACACAGCAGAGCCTCCAGCCCTGCCGATGACCTCGATGGGTCAGAATGATGCCAGATGATGAAGTTTCTGTTTGCTTGTTTTTTAAACCAGGGTACTTGCATACACAGAACTGCATGTCCAGGGCATCCAGTTTGCTCTGTCAAGCACCCAAGATTTAAGAAATGCCTGAGTATTGGTTATCATCCATCTTAATTTGTCTCCTTTCTGCATATGCATCACCAGGCAGTCCCTGTGTCCTGCATTGTGCAAGGTAGATAGTGTGCCAGGGCCAAATCAAGTTTATGCCTTTGTCTGCAGGAATACTGCCTCCTTTATTGCAGAAGCCAAAAGGCGTCCAGCAAGGAAGGTGGGGCACTGCAGAAACAGAACAGATGGTCTCATGGTTAATGCACTTGAATGTTTCCCTGGAGACTTGATTTCTGTCCCTGCCTCTGCCACTGAGCTCTCTTGTGATGCTGGGAAAATCACTTACACCATACTTTTCACACCTGGCCCCTAAATGCAATTCCCATTTTCTGGGTTCCCAGTTTAACAAATCTAGACTCTGATTTTGCAGAAATTCTGAGCACTCCCTGTAACTACTGAATCAGTGGGAGCTAGGCTTTGAACTTATGAGTCCTTTGTAAGGTTTAATTATGAAAAATCAGGTCTAACTGCCTCAAACAGGGCACTGAAAATTAGTGAACACTTTTGACTTTAATCTCTGTTTCTGCTCCCCACCTGTTAAACAGGTAATAATGTCTGATCACGTCATATAGGTTTGTGAGAACAAACTAACATGTTTGAAGCACTTCAAAACTGTTGTGAGGAGCAAAAAACTTATGAAGAAATTACTCATTCTGTCTTTGAATAGCAAGCCAATTAATAAGGCTGGCAGCCAAACACTGACTGAACAACAGAGAAATCAAATGATGAAGACGAGATTGTAGAGTGAGCACTACTCAGTCTACACTGATGCAGCAGCAGCCTGTGTGGAGAAACTCCCTTGTGACTTGAGTCTGCACACTTACCTTTAGTCCTGGTGTTTCTGAACCTTGGAGTGCTTGACTTCAATTGTAAACATCATTTTTGCATTAACATTATTTAGACCAGTTTTGGAAGGATTATGGTATTTCTTTTCATGTGTACCAAGGAACAGAAGCTGTTTGGGGTCAGTCTAGAGGCAAATGACCAGACACCTGTAACTCTTTCCTTTCCCCCTGCAGCATAATCCGTGCACAGCGCTCCGATAATGGATCCTACAGCTGTAAGCTGAAAATCCACAATGATGAGATCGTGTCAGACCCAATATTTGTTCAGCTGGAAGGTATGCCTAGCTTGGAAAATGCCAATGGCAGAGGGCTGCAGGAGCACTGAGACCAGGGGAGTTCACACCAGAGTGCAGAATAGAACTGGGCCACTGGGACTGCACCTGGAGAGGTCCAGGAGCAGAGAGGGGTGGGAGGCAATGCTGAATTCAGGCCAGCAGGGACTGTGACACTTCTGCTGAGAGCAGGCATCACAGTAGACACAGGACTGAGGGAACTTCCAGCCTGTTACCAGCACTGCTGCCAAATCCAGGCATGACCAATTATTAAGGCAGTTGCTGTAGTGAGCCCCCATCACAGTTGTTTCTGGAGCCCACTGTTTCTTGTGTCTGTCTGCACAGGGCTCCCACACTTCATCCAGCAGCCCCGGAGCCTGAATGTTACTAGGAACAGGCCTTTCAATCTCACCTGCCATGCGGTGGGGCCTCCAGAGCCTGTACAGATTCACTGGTTTTGGAACAGCAGCAAAGTGAATGAAAAACCTGACATTTCTCCCTCCATCCTAACTGTGCCAGGTGAGTATAATGGTGCCACTGAAGGAAATGGGGTGGGAAGGGATGCACTGCCTGCTCATCACTTGAACAAGAGAATGCTGGACTCTGATTGTAAAGCACCTGGCTTTGTTTATTGTACTTGGTGGCAGGCAGTTAGGTGGCAGTACTCATCTCCTGTTTGCTAATCTAACGGAGGAACAGCTAAACTGCTAATGTGACCATCAGGTTCTAATATCACCTTGTGTGTGAAAGGTCAGGAAGCCTCTTCCCTGGGCAAGTCCTAGCTTGGGCACATGTCCTAGATAAGTCACAGCTCTTGGAAAAGCATTGAATTATATGCCAACCCATGCACTGCATCTCTGAAGGGCTGGTGTGCACAGGTAAGGGAATGTGTTCAGACCTCCAGCCATTGAGTGTGTCCATCTGAGCAGTAAAGACAGGCAGTACAAAAGCTGATTTTGTGCAGAGGTCCTTTGCAATAGCAGGGGGACCTGCCAGACATGCAGGTACTTGCCATCCACTGCAGCACTCCATGCATTTCACTGTAGCATTCCCTTCATTCAGCACAGATTTTGCTTTAAGTGTTTAATTGAATACTGTATCTGTGTAGGAATATGAAGAGGGTGGGCATTGGCTTAATAGATAAAGTGGTCTAACTGGGACATGGTTTCTTTCCTCAGTGTCACACTGCAATGTACGCCCTGGAGCTGGTTGTTGTAGAAGTTGCTCTTGGACGTTATTTGGCCAGTGGCCTACAAAGACTGCAAGCTTCTTTTGGTTTATTTATAGGCTTAGACATATCCCACAGAATTTGTTAGGAATTTCTCCTGTAAGTTAGGAAAATAAAACCACTTCATTTCAGCTAACCTGCCTACCAGAATGAGCTGGACCATTAATAAGTTATAAGAACAAGGTTAGTAAGAGGATGAAAAACTAATAGACAACCCTTTTAGTAAAGCAGGTTTCTTTCCCACGTAAATTCACCACTGCTCTCAGATGACCTCCTCGAAGGTATCGCCAATTTACTTGATTGTCCTCAGTGAGCATTCTGTGGGTCTGCTGTGAAAGGGTGTAGAGTCTGAATTTTGAATGGGAAGGTTTTTCATTGTCAAGCATAGGTCTACACCACAGTCACAGAGAACTCAGTCTTGCTCTGAGAGGAATAGGCCCCACCCACTCCTCTCGGTGTACATCAACACCAGGAATATGGGGCAGGGAGCTGAGGACACTCTGAGGAATGCCCCAAGCTGCTATTCTTAAGTACTTCAGAAACCCAGGTCTTGAGCGCAGCACTGGACAGCAGTGCTTTCTGCCTCCCTGGTGTAGACAGACCCTGAGAGCCCAGAGAAACTGATGGAAATGGACCCTGCAACAGATTGTTTGCTTTGTATCTGGGTCTCTCCAGACACATATAACTTAAAGTATACCTCTTGGCCCACCCCAGCCCCCTGACTGGAGGCCCATGGGCTTCTGTCAGTGTTCAGGGTCCCATGGCTGTCCTGTCCTGTCCTGCCCTTCCCAACATGGCTGCTACTGCACAGGGGGAAGGAATTGGTGGCCACCCAGACTTTAATGGAGAATGGGAAGCTGTGAAGAGGCACTGGGTTTCTGGGTGAACCCCGTGCTTTTGATATCAGCAGGGGGTGGGATTCCAGGTCCCTGCACAGAGGCACTGCTTCTCTCTTCATTATGGCATTCCCTTCTTTAGCCATGGCTTCCTTTCCTCTACGGCATGCTCTCCTGCTACTGATGCCATCTAGGGGCCCATGGGGGACGCTGAGGCTGAGGGCTAGCATGTCCTGCATTTTTCCCTTTGCTTTCCTCTGCCAGTGAAGCCACTCACTTTAGCATGCCCCTGTGGAGTTGTTCCTTCACTATAACCTCTTGCATGGCTGCACAGTCTGTTATGCTCGATGTGAATACATGGAGAGTCTCTGAAGTGTGTCCTAAATCAGAACAGCTGACTTGGTCTTATTGTTTCTGTGGTGAAAGGCCCCAGATCATGTCCCGAAGACAGAGGTGACATTATTGCCATGTCCCAGAGACAAGCTTTTGTGTAGTAGCCAGTCACAGGGCTCAGTCCTGTCATCCTTTTGTGTCCATTGTCCTAAGGTAAGGTTGATAACGATAGTAGAACTGCAGGTTACAAGTGACCTGGGGGAACCTGAGATGAACACGCTTCCTCCATGGACACCACAGTGGGAGATTAAGTACCTTGCTCAAGGCCAGTGGCAGGGCAGGGCAGCACTGGGTCTCTCAGGTGCCAAATGAACACCCTGAGCCATCCTCCCTTCCTCTCCCAGTCAGGTCAGGAGTAGGTCCAGCTTCCATGGGGAAGTGCTGTGCCAACCCTGAGTCCTACCTTAGGCATCCAAGTCTAGATTTATTTTCTCAAGTGTGGCAAAAACAGGGAGCTACAGGGTTAGTGCCATCAAACTAGGATGTATGGCAAGCTTGGGGTATGCCCCCTACACAGGGCACAACCCAGTCATACTTTGGATGAGCCAGGTGAATCTTTTGTCCCCTGAAGCAAAGTTACTGGAGTTCTGGCTTCTGGCCCGTTCTTCAGAGGGACTAAAATTTCTTCTGAAAGGGAAGTCTGTGTCAAACTCTCTTCCTTCCTCAGCAGCCTATAAATAAATCTTTCCATCCCTTGGCCAGGCTGACCGGTGCCCAGCAGTTCCCAGCAGCACCAGGGTTGCATCCACAGCAAGCTGCAAGCCCAAAGACTTTGCAGAAGGCTAGAAGTGACACTGGTGTAGGGAGCCCAAAACAGCAGAGTTGTTGGTGCTGGTTCTGGCCCTGCCACTGCTCCAAGTCAGTCTGACCATCAGCCCATGCAGCAGTTTCCTTCATCTCCAGTAATGTGGGAGGGTGACTTCCTGCGTGGCAGCCATGTGTTCTACCCAGGGCAGGGAACACTATATTTCCTGTCCTCCAGGCTGTCTGGGGAATTGGGCGCTCCTTGGTTTACATTCCCTGGGAGCTGGCTGAGGTCCTGGTACACTGAGCAAAGCACTGGAACAGGAGGGGTAGAGATCAGAGAAGGTCCTGTGGTGAAATTCTCCCATGTGCTAGAGCAGTCTGTGTCTCTCTGGTATAGGCTGGCTTAGTTGGCCACAGGGGATTGCCCTGGCATAGAGGAAGTTGCCCCTTCATTCCAGTGATCTCTGACCACTTGCAGCTCCTGTTGCCATTGAAGCCTGTTCAGGTTAGAGCAGCTATGGGACTGGCTGACTGGTGTGGGTGTATGTATGCACAGATGACTTAGTGCAACCCCCTCGCACATCCCCGTTCCACTCACCTCCTAGGCTGGCACCAAGGATCAGGGCTCTTGTCTTTCTGTGGTGTAGTTCTACCTGCAGACTCATCTCCCTGGGTGCTTGTGTCTGTGTTAGTGCAAGCAGCATGTCAGAGCAATGTGATTATAAGGTCTCCTATGAATGTGAGTGTAAGGGAGGTCACATCTGGTTACTGTCAGCTGCTGCTTCTAGCCTCAGAAGACAGAACAAATATAGATGTGGAAGAACCTTGAATACCCAAGGAGACAGGAAGGATTAGCAAAGATCAGGGAGGGGACAGAGCCCCTGGAAACCCAGGATGGATAGAGAAGTCCCTTCATTCCCATTATCACCATCCACAAGAGAAAAAGGAGGGGGGAATACTTGATTCACTCTTTAGAACAAAGTTCCCAGATAATTACCAGAGATGTTATGACTGGCATGTTGTGGATTCCAAAGATAGATTTAAAAGGCAGTGAAAGTTGGAACATGTGACTCATTCGTCCTGCATTTTCTGTGTCCCTGTTTGGCAAACTTTAGGTCAGATCCATGCAGTGACCTTAGAAAGGTCAAAGCAACTGCAAATGTGAGTCAGGACTGTGTGGGGTGCAGGCATTTTCAGTGTGAGGCATTCACCTCAATGAACTGTCAAAAGTAGGGGCTTGAAAGTCAGTCAGTCCTTGCTTAGAGATCCACTGCCTGACAGGAAGATAGGTTTGGAAAAAAATATGGTGTTCTCTTTTTTTGAGTAAGGGGGAGTGAGTAAAATGGGAAACTTTTGAATACAAGAAGACAATAGTGTGTGTGTGTGTGTGTGTGTGTGAGAGAGAGAGAGAGAGAGAGAGAGACCCTGATCTCTGTGGAAGAGCTGTAGAGCATTGCAACAAGCCTTTAATACTGTAATTACAGAAAAACAGCTCAGTTGACTTGCCACTGAATAAGGCTTATTAATCCACTGTATCCGAGTCCAGTGGTTTTCAAACTGTGTTCTGTTGAACCTGTGGTTTCATGATAGTTCATCAGGGGTTCTGCAAAGAGATTGGAGATAATGGCAGAGCAGGCTGGGTGACAGCGTACCACCATTGTGGGGTTGGGTCATTGGCTTCGTGCTAGTCTTTAGGATAGGAGTAGGGGTTCTGCAGCAGAAGAAGTGATATGAAAAGGTTCTGTGACTTTAGGAAGTTCTAGTCATCCTGCACAGGAACAAATTCTGCT